ATTTTGTAATATAGAAATAATATACATGCATTTTACCAGTAACCCTCAGTAGAAGAGGTTGTCTGCATTATACTTAATACTGAACTCTGAAGACACATCTGTTCAAGTCAAACTGATTAACTGAATATTATTTACTAGATAAATAATTAAAAGACTTATCTAAGATCATGTGAACTGGAAAAACATTTTGGTTTGGTTTCTATCTTTCTAAAAGCTTAAGGAATACTTAATTTATATAAGGGCTTATTTTCCTTTAAGCCAGTTAAACAGAGGTTTTTTTTTGTTTTTTGTTTTTGTTTTTGTTTTTGTTTTTTGAGACAGGGTAGCCCAGGCTGGAGTACAGTGGCACGATCTCGGCTCACTGCAACCTTCACCTCATGGGATCAAGAGATTCTTCTGCCTCAGCTTCCTGAGTAGTTGGGATTACAGGCGTGCGCCACCATGCTGGCTAATTTTTGCATTTTTAGTAGAGACAGGGTTTCACCATGTTGGCCAGGCTGCTCTTGAACTCCTGACCTTACGTGATCCACCTGCCTCAGCCTTCCAAAGTGCTGGGATTACAGGTGTGAGCCACCGCGCCTGGTCAAACAGAGCTTTTTTTTTTTTTTTTTTTTTTAAATAAATTAATTTTGTCAATACTATGCAGAAATAGAAAAATACCACACGCACATGCATATGTACATACATACATAAATATAAACATACAGGCTTTCATTCAAAAATTTTAGCCATATGTTAGGTACAATAACACAAAACTCACTAATTCATTAAAAAAATCTCTGAATCCATTTTTGTTTTTCTAGTTGATAGAACAGGGTTCCCATCTATATAGCTAACGTTTTTTACTAATATATTTGAAAAAGAGTTTTAAGATTTTTCACTTGATTTTTATTAGGATTCTTATAGAGAGGCAGTTTTTTGATTCGTTTAGTCTTTTAGAAGCTCCTGCGTGACAATCAAAAATACATTCCATTGTATTTGAGGTGTCTTGCGTCCCTTCTTTTTTAAAACGCCTCTCAAGTTAAAGCTTCCCCATTGTGGCCACTATAATTCTAAGTTTTCCATAGTAAGGCTAATCATTTTCCCTAAAATACATGGTTTCTGAAATCATCATTATTGTACATAAAAGTAGTCAGTGTGCCAGAAAGAAGAGTCCCAGACTTCTGAAGCACCAGCCTCTTCAGATTTAGAGAAACCTACTTTCAAGGAGGAGGAACTTAGTTATTTATTAGATTCAATCCAATTGCAAATTCTGTTGGTAAAAGAATTGCTCAAATAAAGTCCGGAGCTCAAAATGCAAATTTGCAGACCTTTGATCTAAGGGGAAACTCATCCTTGCCTTCCAGTTTAGGCAAGAGAGCAGTACGCCCAGTGGTTTCAGTGGGTGCTTTGCTCAGTCACTTCGTGCTCTAATGCCAAACTGTTAGAAGAGGATCAGAGTTCTGCCCAGCAGCATGAGCAGTAAGCTTTTATAGGCTGAGCAGGGAAGCAAAGTAGAAAAATCACCTGATGGACTAGCTAAGCATTTGCTTCTTAGGCATGCTGTGATGAGGCATTTGTCTTACTTAGGCACAGTCTGATTCGTTGGCTGCCTGTGATTGGCTGAGGCTCAGCTGTTTGTGATTGGCTGAAACCTGGCTATTTCTTACGGAAAAAAATGCTACTAGGTTAGGTTGTGTTTTTTAAATGTAGGAACTCAAATTAAAGAGACAACATCAGGCTAATGGCCTCCTGCTTGTTCTGTTTAACATTGGTGTATATTTAGGAGTGTCACTGTTAGTCGTGGTATGTTAAGTTTAACCTTTACATATATTGCCAAACAATTTTTCTGAGTGACTGTATCAATTTAATCACTATCATCCTTTTATGATAGTTCCCAACGCTGCTCCTCAATAGCACATGGCATTGTCAGTCTTCTTAACTTTAGTTCTTTGGTGGCTATGAACTTCATCTTTTTGTGGCTTTAATTTGCATTTCCCTATAACTAATACAGTTAAGCACCCTTACAAATGTTTACAAGCCATTTTTATATAGTAAGAGTTTTTTTCTTTTTTTTTTTGTAAAGTGCTTCTTTATGTCTTTTTTCCCTCCCTTTTGGCTGTTTGTCTATTACTGAATGATTTATAATTCTTCACATATTGTGGACACAAACGTCTTCTTGGGTATGTGTGCTGCAAATATCTTCTCTTATTGCCTATTTACTTTTTTGTTACTTTTGATAACCAGAAGTTCATTGTCTTAATAGGGTTCAATTTATAATGTTTTTCTTTAAATATAGGGATTATTGTGTCATTTTAAAAGAATCTTTGCTTATCTCAAGATCATGAAGCTATTATCTTCTAGAGGCTTTATTGTTTATCTTTTACTTTTAATTCTACTATTCACTTGAAATTGATGTTTGCATATAGTCAGAAGTTGGGATCAAGTTTCTTTTTTCCCCATATGTATATCTCACTGACTCAGCACCACTTACTGAAAAGGCTGTAGTTTTCAGCCAGGCGCGGTGGTTCACGCCTGTAATCCCAGCGCTTTGGGAGGCTGAGGTGGGTGGATCAAGAGGTCAGGAGTTCAAGACCAGCCTGGCCAAATGGTGAAACCCCGTCTCTACTAAAAATACAAAAATTAGCTGAGCGTGGTGGCGGCGCTTCTGTAATCCCAGCTACTCGGGAGGCTGAGGCAAGAGAATCGCTTGAACCCAGGAGGCAGTGGTTGCAGGGAGCCAACACTGCACCACTGCACTCCAGCCTGCATGGCAAAACAAGATTCCATCTCCCCCCACACACCAAAAAAGAGAGAAGACTATTTTTCTATCACTCTCCGGTACCACTTGCATCATAATTCAAGAGTTCATGGATGTGTGGATCTATTTCTGGACTATATTTTCTATTTCATTATTAATTTAGCTAATCTTGCACAAATTCCACACGGTTTCTATTACTGTATCTTCAAAAATAAGTCAAAGTCTGGTACAAAAATACTTACTCTTTTTTCTTCTTTTTCAATTTTGACTTACCTGGTTTTAGCTTCTTATATTTACAAAGAAATCTTAGGATTCGTTTGTCAATTTCCACACACATGCACAAACCCTGCTGAGATTTTGATTATGATTGAATTGAATTCATAGTCCAATTTGGTGAGAATTGATATATTTACAAAATTATTTTCTAATCATGAACATGATGTATTTCTCTGTTCAATGTGTCTTTAGATTTTCTTAATGGTACTTTATGGTTTGTGAGAAGTATCCACATTTGTTAGATTTATTGCCTGATATTTAATATTTTTGATACTACTGTAACTGGTTTAATTACAACATATTATTTCAAATTTTTTGGTTGTTATATTGGAATACAATTGATTTTTGATAATGGCCTTTTATCCTGGAGCCTTGCTACACTCATGCATTAATTCTAACAGGTTTTCTGTGGATTCCCTTAGGTATTCCACTTAAACCATCATATTATTTGCAAATATTGCAAATCTTCATTCCCAGTCGCTTTACCGTTTATTCATTTAGTCTAATTTCACTACTTGAAAACTTCAGCACAATGTTAAATAAAAGTGCTGAGAGTGGGCATCTTTGTGTCATACTCAGTCTCAGAAAGGAAGCTCTCGCCATTTCACCATTAGTGTTTGCTGTACTTTCTTTTAGAAAAACAGGTATCTTTTATCAGATTAAGTAAATTTCCTTCCTTCTCTAGTTTTCTAAGGATTTTTCCCCCATGAACTGATATTAAAATTTATAAAATACTCAAGCATAATTTTCTGTTTATTCTGTTAATGTGGTGAAAATATGGTTTTTTGCTTTATTTTGTTAATGTGGTAACTGATGATTTTTGATTTTAGACTGACCTTATATGCTTGTATTGCTGGCATGAATTAGACATTTTTTTTTTGAAATATGATATAAACACACATAAACAACACATACACATCTTTAATGTTAACATGCACACATTAACACATTGAGTCATGTGAGATATATATGTAAATTCAGTGTGTTAATACTTTTGTGTAGTATTTTTGAATCTATATTAATAAATGAGATTAACCTATGTTTTTAGAGTTCTTTTTTTTTTTTTTTTTTGAGACGGAGTCTCACTCTGTCACCTAGGCTGGAGTGCAGTGGTGTGATCTGGGCTCACTACAAGCTCCGCCTCCCAGATTCATGCCATTCTCCTGCCTCAGCTTCCCGAGTAGCTGGGACTACAGGCGCCCGCCACCACGCCCGACTAATTAATTATAGAGTTCTTATCAGATTTTGTGCCAAGGTTATCATGGTCTTGTAAAATGAAATTGGAGCTATTAAGGACTTCTAAATTCTCTAATGGTCTTTTTACCAATTGGTGCCATTATCTTATTGTATACTTTATATGTTTTATAAGCTTTCTGGACCTAAAGGCCTCATGCATTTGTGTGAGTGTGGGAGATGTTAAAAAAAATATATTCAAACCCTACAATAGATAGAACGATTCAGATTTTCTGTTTCTTGGGGATCAATTATGGTATGTCATGTTTTCCTAGGGATTTGTCCCTACATCTCAATTTTAAAATATATTGACAGAAATATATTATAATATTATATTTGTAAAAGTTTTAAGAGTTATGGCCTTGCCCTATTTTCCACTTTGACTCTTGGTTATTTATGCTATCTTTTCTATAATTCTCTTCAGAAATTTATTAACTTTATATTTTTTCAATGAACCAACTTCTATTTTGTTGATCATATACTTTATGTTTGTTTTTTATTTCTTTATTATCTTTTCTTTATTTTTTTTCTATTTACTTTGGGTGTAATTTACTGTTTTTGGGAACTTCATGACATGGATGCTTAGGCCATTGATTCTTCAGCCTTCTTGAGCTAGCAATAACGAAGGGACCATACGATGCTTTAACTGCGTGTATCTCTCTTCTCTCCTCTGTATGCTATTGTTGTTGCATATTCTACTGTAAATAAATACTATAACAGTACTATGCTTTTTGTTTCTGTATTTCCCTAGAATCTGGGCTATCCTTGTGACTTGCTTTGACTAACAGAATGTGACAGAATGACGTTGTGCAACATCTGAATCGAGACTCAAAAAACTGTAGGCAGCCATCATGCTGTGAACCCAAGCTGTGTGGAGAGACTAAGTGGAGGTGAGAGACTAAGTGGAGGTGAGAGACTAAGTGGAGTCACTTCAGTCAAGAGCCCTATCTGATATTTCAGTCCATAACTAGCCCTGTCTGCCAGCCTCGTGAATAGGTCATCTTGGACTTTTCAGCCCCGTCGAGAACAATGACTACATCCTCAGCTGATACCACATAGAACAGAGGAACTACCTAGCTTAGCTGGGCTCATATTGCAGAATTGTGAGAGATCATGAAAAGTTGTGGTTTTTTTTTTTTTATAACTATACATTTATTTAATACACATTTCAGTAATATTATTGCATATTTTTTCAATGCTCTTTACAGGTATTATGGCAGATTATAAATAAATGCTCAGAGGGTTTCCATCTACTCACTCTTATAACTGAGATGGGTTAGGGTCTTTCAGGAATAAACAACACAAGTTCTTTCCAGAATAACTAGCACGATAATAGAAATATTAGCAAAGTGCACACATACCTCCTTTTTCTGGAATGCTCTTTACTCTTTCCATCTGCTACTGTCTGCGAAGTCCGCTGAAATCATGTCCCTCATGAGGCCCATTCCCCAGCCGTGGAATTAGGCTAGGAAGCAGGAGCTGGGATAAACAAGCCGCTTTTTCCTTTGTACTCCCAGTATACCTTTTATGGAGCTCTAATATAGGACCTTTTTTATTTTAGTTTGTAATTGCAATATTTGTTTATACCTTTCTATTCTCTGGCAGGCTGGGACCTCCTTAAGGACAAAGATTGTCTTCTTAACTTGGATATCTGTCTTAGTCTATTCATTCAGGCTGCTATAATGAAATGTCATAAAATCAGTGGATTATAAACAACAAACATTTAATTCTCACAGTTCTGGAGGCTGGGAAGTCCAAGATCAAAACACTGGCAGATTCAGTGCTTTGTGGCTTAAAACAAATGCAACCTTTTACAGTTAACCTGAAAGGAATTTTCCAGATTAACTCTGAAATGTCGTGTTTGTTTTAAGCCACAAAGTTGTGATGTGGTTTGTGATATTTTATAGATTACCAAAACAACAACTGTCATTAAGCATTGAATGAATTAACAAATATATGACTTTATAAATAGTGATGGGTGTATGGTGATTGCCTGGATAAGTTTCTGTCAATTCTTTATATATTACGAAGAAAAAAAGCAATTGTAGATTCATGAAAGGAACAGTGAATACAAATTGGTTGAACTACTGCAAAAGAACTAGAAACTCTTGGAAACATTTAGAGCTAAGTCAATTACATAACTTCTTTGAATATGAAGCTGTCATGTAAATACAGACTTGTCACAAATGCATTTGTTATTTCCTAATATTCTATGAGAAGTAAGCATCGTTAGTGACTTAGGCTACCTATCTGGCACATAATACAAAACCAGAAGTGAGCATGGGTGGGCACTGTGTATTCTGGAGTTTAGCTATAGTTTTGAGTCTATATTTTAATTAAATTGCTCAAAACCAAAACCTCTTCACCTTCAAGACACATGTCAAGTCTTCGTACTTATAAATTATCATAAATGTATAGATTTTCATTGTAAAGGAGGAAACTATTCAGTTAAAGGTGTCTGTCGCACCTTCCATTAATAATCTTCCCAAATTACCTACAGGAAGAGTTTTTTTTTTTTTTTTATAAAATCACAAAGAAGACACTCAATAATCATTGCTTAAAGAAAAAAATTGACGTAAGAAACCAGATAGTTTTCATTTTTTAGTGGGGAGGGAAAAAATTTAAAAAAGGAGACAGGCAGGGATAAAACAATGCTGGGTCTTTAGCATTTAAACAATATTCTAGGTAAATTTTCATGGTATGCCCCAATTTTCTTCACTGCCACAGTTGCCTTTTGCATAAAGAAATAATGAGTTTTCTTTGATAAGGTTACAAACAGGTTCTTCCAATTTTCCTTTCTCTGCATTGTAAAAGCAGTGCACTTTTTAACAGTGACACTCTTCATACTTTATATTCTTCTCATTTTAAAGACGAAGAAAAGTTCAAGGAACCAAAGGAATATCAATAGTTATTTGACATCATAAAAGACTGAAAATTTCAAGAAAATAAACATCAAAGCCTTTATTATTTTTGATGAGATCTATTTCACTTCCTATAAGTAAGCCAATACTAGGACACATGTGATTTTTAGCATTCAAATGCTCGCTGATAAATTTCAGCATGTGTTGCCTAACAACAAGGACATTCTCATCCATAAACAAAATACAATTATTATACTATGTAAATTTAACACTGACAATTCTATTATCTTATATATAGTTCATATGCAAATTTCTCCAATTGTCTCAACGGTGTCTTTTATAACATTTTGTTGTTGTCTTATTTGATTCAGGATCCAACCAAAATCATATATTACATTTCATTTGTCATGTTTCATTAGTCTCCTTAATCTAGCATAATTCACCACCCTTTTTATGATTTTTATGACACTGGCATTTTTGAAAGCATTTGAGTAGTCATGTTGAAAAATGTCCCTCATTTTGGATTTTTTTCCTCATGATTACATTCAAGTGAAACTTTTTTGTAGAAATATTATCTAGGTGATCTTGTGATTTCTGTGTCTCACTGATTGCTAAATTACATCTTTTTGGTTAATTGGTATCTTCCAGACTTTTCCATTGTTTCATTGAAATTAATATGCAGTCTGCAAAGTGATACATTGACACAATGAATATCTTGTTCCCCAACATTTCTACCCTCTTTGGTTTTCTTGTCTGAATCAATAATTATTATGGTTAATGCAATACAGTGATTTTCCATTTTTATAGCTTGATGGATTTTGCCACCTTTTAGGTTGAGTTAATGCAGTACATGTGTTTTATTTAGAATTGTGTAGTATTCCTACCACTTACTTGTAAGATCCCAAATTTCTTTTGGAAAACCACTGCTTTCCTATTCTTCTCCATGTGATTTGGAGTTCCCCTCCACTTTTAAGGATGGGCCAAAATGACAGTCTAATCTCACCTCTCTGGCCATAACAAATATTTCAAGAATGGTGCCTGACCCCCACTAAACACTGATAATATCAGCAACAATAGATTTTCTGAGACTCCTGCAAAAGTGAAGCAAGCTCTCTCTTTCACAGGAATTACTGGGGATAACCATCATTCTTTCTCAGAAACCTCACACTATGCATCTTAATTGTCTAGTTGACCACCGTAATGAGCTGAATTGTGTCTCTGCAAAATTCGTATGTTGAAGTCGAAACACCTAGTACTTCAGAGTTTGACTGTATTTGGAGAGAGGACCTTTAAAGACATAATTAAGGTTACTAGAATGGGCCCTCATCCAATGTGACTGGCGCTTTAATAAAAAGAGGTTAGTCTCTCTCAATAAGTTGGGTATAGAAGAAATATACCTCAAACGATAAAGACCAGATATGACAAACCCACAGCTAATATCATATGAACAGGGAAAAATGGAAAGCCTTTCCAGTAAGATATGAAGCAAGATAAGGATGCCCACCCTCACCACTGCTGTTCAACATAGTTCTGGAAGTCTTAGTCAGAGCAATTAGGTGAGAAAAATAAAGGACAGTCAAATTAGAAAGGAAGAATTCAAATTATTCTTGTTTGCAGAGAAATGATCTTATATTTGCAACATCCTTTACTCCACTAAAAGACTCTTAAAACTGATTAACAAATCCAGGAAAGTTGCAGGATAGAGAATCAACATACAAAAATTAGTAGTATTTCTATATGGTAACAATCGTTAATTTAAAAAAAATCAAGAAAGCAATCCCATTTGCAATAACCAACAAAAAAGTAGGAATACATTTGACCAAAGAAGTGAAAGATCTTGACAAGCAATATTATAAAACACCAATGATAGAAATTGCAAAGGAGATGAAAAAATGGAAAGATATTCCATGCTCAACGATTAGAAGAATCAATATTTTTAAAGTGTCCATACTACCTAAAGCAATCTACAGATTCAATGCAATCCCTATCAAAATACCAATGACATTCTTCACAGAAATAGAATAAGCAATCCTAAAACTCATATGGAACCAAAAAGGAAAAATCTCAAATAACTAAAAAACATCTTAAGCAAAAAGAACGCAACTGGAGGCATCAGACTACCTGTCCTCAAATTATACTACAAAGCTATAGTAACCAAAACAGCATGCTACTGGCATATAAATGGACACATAGACCAATGGAATAAAATAGGTAATACATAAATAAATCCATGCACTTACAGCCAACTCCTTTTTGTCAAAGGTACCAAGTGCATATGATAGAGTTTGGCTCTGTGTCCCCACACAAATCTCACCTTGAATTGTAATCTCCATAACCCCCACATGTCCAGAGAGGGACCAGGTGGAGGTAACTGAATCATGGGGGTAGTTCCCCATGATGTTCTCTTGATAATGAGTGAATCGCACCAGATATGTTGGTTTATTAGCATCTGGCATTTCCTCTGCTGGCAATGATTTTCTCTCCTGCTTCTCTTTGAAGAGGTGCCTTCTGCCATGACTTTAAGTTTCTTCAGGCCTCCTCAGTCATGTGGAATGGTGAGTTAATTAAACCTGTTTTCTTTATAAATTACCCGGTCTCGGGTATTTCTCCATAGCAGCATGAGAATGGACTAATACAGCATACATTGGGGTAAGAACAGTGTCATTAAAAAGTGGTGCTTGGAAAACTGAATATCCATATGCAGAAGAGTGAAACTAGGACCCTGTCTTTCACCATACACAGAACTCAACGCAAAATGGATTGAACAATTAAATATAAAACTTGAAACTACAAAAAATAAAAAAATCCTAAAAGAAATCATTGAGAAAATGCTATAGACGTTGGTCTGGACAATGATTTTTGGGTAAGACATCAACAGTATAAGCAATAAAAGCAAAAATAGACAAATGGGATTACATGAAGCTAAAAAGCTTCTGTACAGCAAAGAAAACAATCAACGAAGTGAAGAGACAACCCACAGAACAGAAGAAAATATTTGCAAACTATTCATCTGACACGAGATTAATAAC